GTACCACTGAATTGTAATAGTATTATTTGACAACCTAATTAGACATTTGAAACTTTTTTTAAATACCACTAAAATTATATTTTGTAGCACTGAGAGTGTATTTTGTACCACTGAATCTAAAATAGTAAAATTTAAACCCCGCATGAAATAACCAATCTACCCCTGCTAGACACGTCTAAATCTCTGTCAACCCTCCGTTTATATAACCTCCTATCACAAATTCACAACCAAGAATATCAATCTTGAATTTTTGATTCAATCCAACTCATAATCTAAAGTTTATTATCAAATGCAAAGTATCTCCCCTATTTTATCTACTTTCTTAACACTTTTTTGAAATAGAGACAAGGCTCCAAATCTATAGGGTAAGCCCAAATGTTTGAATGGTCTTGAACTCTTGGGTTGAGAAAAGTAAACATTTTAATTGCATGCAAGTAATGAAGCTCTAGTGGAAGATACGAATAAATCCTTGAAACCAATAGCTTAATCTAATACTTCCTACTTTATGTATTATCTTGTTAATGTTGATTAAATAAGTGAAAGGTGTGTGATTAAGGGTAGGAGAGAACACAAATTTTTTAAAAAATCGGGTGTACAATAATTATTGTACATCCATTATAAAGATAACCTAAAGTGATTAATAATTACCCCTGAAATGAATAAAAGTTACCCCAATTCAAATAAAAATTATCTTCGCTTTATTAGTAAAGAATCACATTTTAAATGACTAAAAATCAATTATTAGTGATTGAATGTAATTAAATTACCTTTATAAAACTTTTCTTGTTGTTGATTTATATAAAAATTGTATTATGTTTAAAGTTACCCAAAAAAAGACAAAAAGTTACCCTAAAATTAGCTAAAAGTTACCCTTATACTGCTCGATGTACACTAATCATATAACTAATATATAAAGCTAAACTTTTAGCCAGGTCACGAGACAGCGACACTTGGCATTCTGACTTTTTCGCCAAGTGTCGCGCCACCTTGGGTAAATTTAAATAAACTTCATATGATAAAAAAAAAAACCGTCAAGTGTCGCGCTACCTTGGATAGATTTCATAAGATAAAAAAAAAAAAGGTAAGAATTCTATAGGATAGAATTTTAGAATAAGATTATTAATTTAGAGTTATATTTTTTATAAAATACCAAATAATAAATTTATAATTAGGCCACAAGACAATATCATTTAGCGTTTTAATTTTTGTATCCACGTTGGATAAATATAGATTGACTTTGTAGCAAAAAGAGTTAATTTAGAATTCTATTTTCAATCAAATTGAATTATAATATGTAGTATAATTTTATCTCAAAAGTCCATAAACTACCCGGGCATCGCCGGAGCACAAAACTAGTATTAGTGTAAACCGGATGTATACAAAAGTTTTTGAGGAGAGAATTAATGGCCACCACTACAAACGCATGCCTAATAAGCTGATAAGATAAACAAACCTTAAAGATAAATTAAATCCTAAAACCTCTAATATTGTCTTATAAAAGGATAATTTTTCGTAATCTTTATCCTAAATAAATCATACGGATACGACAAAATAAATCCTAAAGAAAATAAATCTAGACTCCTAATTCTTGATGTTTGATCCGCATCAATTAAAAGGGTTAAATTGATACCATGTTCTTAGTTGAATGCTTAATCGCCTTAATACACACAAGATGTTAGGCATATTACGAGGTGTTGGGATGCCAAAATGGCTATCCATTTTGGGCTTTATTTACTATTGGATTCTCAGACCCAATAAGCCAAATATGTGTTACTAGGAGTCTTGGAGCTTAAGTCAATGCAAAGATCGTTGGATTGTGTAACTAATACGTAGTACGGAGTACATGTAAAATTAAGAAAAATGTATATTCTCATGATACTAAAGTATACTTCCTCCGTTTTTTTTAGTTGACACTGTTTGACTTTTATACTATTCACATATTACACTTTGACTCGCTTTTGTGATTTATATATCCTATAAAACGTGGCGATTCTTCTAAGGGGCAAGGCTAGGCTTGACCTCCCTTAGATTTTGATCCAAAATTTATCATCTACTTAAACTACTTTACTTAAAATTAGTGTCTTCTAATTGTTAGATAATTACATCACAAGCAAATAAAAATACTTGCATTTCTAATTTAATGGCAATTTTCTTCTTACTTTATTTATTTGCAATGTTGTTAGAGATTCCATACTTGCTAAAGTAACTTTTATATCGTTAATTTTTGTAGTTACATATACACCGTATCTAAGTCATGCTAAATTTAATATTTTCATACAAGTCAAAATCTTTTTTTTTTTTTTTTTTTTTTTTTTCAGTTGACAGGTCGTTTTATAACACCTATCCATCATGTTATGATGACATTTATATATTAGTAAAAACAATATGTCATGGTAATACATGAATAGTATAAAACCTAGATACTTAAGTAATAATTGAAATTAGCTTTAATTCGATCACCCCTCCCTCCGTCCAAAAAAAGTTGTCAAGATCCGCCAGTGCCGGCCTATAGATATAATAAAATATACAGTCATGTGGGATCTTGTTTGAATCGTCTACATGTATATTTTATTAATATTCACTTTTTTTAAAAAAACAAAATTTCAATGTTGATAATTGAAGTTATTAAGCGTTAAAAACATGCGTTGGCAAGCGTGATAATAGAAAGGTCAACTAAAATTAAAACAAAGTATTAGAATAAATTTTGCTATTTACTGCATAAATTACGTATATTTTGGTGTGCATATTGTATTGAAAAAAGCGTTTTGTGTGAGACTGGACTCACGTGAGATTGGACTCTTAATAAAAAAGGCGCGAGCCTGAGATACCCGACCAAAGCCCGCGCGCCAATTTATAAAATGTGTGAATTGTTTGTCATTTATCATTTTCCTCAAATTTCAAGCGCAGACATTTTCTAACAAAATCGCGAACTCATTTATTTCGCGAAACTAAGAACTCCTTCATTTCTCAAACATCAGAGCCTTCAGATCAATTTCAAATTTCTAAAAATTAAATCAAAAAATGGAGAAATTAAACAACATAATGACAATTGAAGAAGAATCTGATTCACCTAAAGAATCAATTCCGAGCTCAATTACTGCTGAAAAGGGTACAATTTATTTCAATTTAATTACATAATTTCAAATCGTATTTAAAATTCAGATGCATTTAATTACAGATTGTATTTAATATCAGTTTGTGCTTAATTTCAGATCATATTTAGTTCATAATCAATTTGACTTTATGAATTTTCGCAAAAAGTTAATTCAATTTTGGATGCAATTTAAATTTGCATATAATAAATTTTGACTTATAATTTGCATGTAATGTTTATTAAATTTTCAAATTTAGATCGTATTTAATTTCGAGTTAAATTAGACTTATAATTTGCAACCAAGTCAAATTTATTTTCAGTTAATTGTTAATTTCAAGTTATAACTTGAAAGTAATCCTAATTTAATTTCAGATCGTAGTTAATTTCATTTCTATTAATAATTTGCATGGAAGGCTAATTTGATTTCAGATCGTAGATAATCCGATTTATATTTTGCATGCAAAGTTATTTTAGTTTCAGATTGTATACCTAAAGTGTTGAGCAATAATAATGAATGCAACATATAATGTAATTATAGAAGAGAACACCAATCAAGGAAGAGATGATGAAGAAAGAGATGAAGATGCTGCAAATATAATAGGTATGTTTGTTTAAAAATTTATGAAGTGTTAAAATAATCTTAAATGGTGGAATTCCTGAGAAAAATATTTTAATGCTTACAAAAATAGAGTAATTCCTAGCATATATAATGTAATTCCTGTCTAAACATAGTAATTACACATAAAATATATTTTTAATTCAATTCGTTACTTTGTAAATCTCATTCCTGAATCATTTAATCAAATATCTGACTATTTTAATCTTATTTTTGATGAAATAAATTTCAAAACAATTTTAATTTTGACTAAAAAATTGTAATTCCTGTGTAACAATATATAATTCTTGTGTAATTTTATGTAATTCCTAACTTATGTTATCTTAAAACTGACCAAAAAATAATATATTTCTGAATAAAATCTTGTAATATCTAAGTATAATTAATTAATTCCTGAATAAAAGATGCTAATTTACTAAATCAATAAATTTGAATACAAGTTTAACCCCTGACTAAAGTATATTTAAGCCTGACAAAAATATACTAATACCTGATATATAAATATAATTCCTCACTAAAACATAGTATAATTCAATTCCTAATCAAATATTGTAATGTCTGACAAAAATTGTTCAATACCTGACATAAAATATTTAATTCCTGATATAAGCATACTAATTTGTGTTATTGCTTAAAATTAATTCTTGATAGTTTAACTATAATTCATGTTATATAATGTCTAATTTTTGACTGAATACCTTTAATTCCTTATAATATATCTGAATTGATATATTTGTTGAGTAAAGTATTCTAATTCTTGACTTAAATTTTATAATTTCTTACACCAAAAATAATTTAATACCTGACTTTTGTATAATTTGTATATTTACTTTTGTTGCAGATTATTACAAATATGACAAAGATGAAAACATAAGTAGATGTTTAGCAGGATATACAGTATCAGACTACAATGATGGATATTTTTTTATACAAAGCTCATTCAAGATTTGTTGGTTTCAGTGTAAGATAATCAACAAAGAGAAGAGATAATAATGATTTACTGTATGAGTTTTATTTTAGATGTTCTAAGGAAGGATAGACAAAGGGTAAAATGAAAATTGCAGGTGAACATAATTCAGTAGAAATACCCATATTGGGTAAAACTGATGAAAGAAAGAGAAAAGAAAGGGAAGTAATGAAACAAGAACTGGATGCAAAGCTCATATTCGTTTTAAGAAAAATGCAGAAGGTAGATTTGCTGTTCTTGCACATGAGTTGGAACATAATCATGAACTGGTAATAACAGTTCAATGACATCATCTAAGATCAGAAAGGCAAATATCAGCTCCAATGGGTGAGCTAATTGAGAGCATGATTGAGAGTGGTATTAAACCAATGGATGCTTATAATTATATAAGCACTGAAGCTGGAGGAGAAGAATGTGTAGGTCATACTAAGAGAGATCACCTTAACTATGTATCAAGAGTGAAAATGAGTATGGTTGAAGGTGGAGACATGCAGAATGTATTAGACACCCATCAAGAAAGAGCGGATCAAGATCCTTCATTCTTGTATAGACTGAAATTTGGTGAAGAAAATAATGTTGTGAGCTATTTTTGGCGTGACTCTCAAATGCTTGAAGATTTCAAAGCTTATGGGTGATGTTTTAATCTTCGATACAACATACAGAACAAACAAATATGGGTTGATATGTGCTCCATTTGTTGGTATAAACAATCACTGGAGAACAACAATGTTTGGATGTGCATTCATAACTGATAAAAAGACTGAAACATTTGTTTGGCTTCTTTCAATCTTCAAAAAGTCAATGAGTGGAATTGAACCAAAATCAATCTTCACTGATCAAGATCTTGCAATGAGCAACGCCATACCAGAGGTAAGCAGTTTTAGCTTCATAATATTTGTATTTTATACTGTAAATATGTTATTTGTATTCTATAACTTAACACAATCTAAGTAATTTTTAATGTAGCTTATTTCCCGTCCAAAAAAATATAATTCCTCTGAAAAATAATGAAATAAATGACTAAATGTTAATAACAGATTCAAAATTTTTTAATTCCTGAATTCAAACTATTTAATCATGATGTAAGAAATCTTAATACTGATGTTTAAGTTTTAATTCCTGAAAAAGTAATATAATACCTGAATGAAACTATCTTATTCTCATTTTAAAATGTATTTAATTATAAATATAATTTTAATCCTGAAAAAATTCTTTAATTCCTGATAATTATAAACTAACTCCTGCCCTACATAATGTAATACCTGAAAAAATTGTCATGCATGACTTAAACAACCAATGCCTAAGATGAAAGAAATTATATCTGACTAATAATATCTAATTCCTGTCTAAATTCAACTTATTTCTGAGTTAAAAATATTAATTCCAAAACACTAATTAAACTCTGAAAATATTTAAATCCTGACTAAAATATAGTAATATCTGACAAGAATTATTTAATATCTGACTATAAAAATAATGATCCTGAAAGAAATAATATGATTTTCCGAGAAATATGATTTAATTTCTGCCCTAAATAATATAATACCTGACTAAAAAATAATAATCCTGAAAGAAATAATATTATTCCTGATTTTTAATACAATGTGAATGCCTTCTTTCTACTTCTCCATAACAGAAACAGAACAATATCAAAAAACTTCATCATCCTTACCATAGTAAACTATAGTTGGGAAATAAATAAATATATTCAATATGAAGACAAGGCATATAAACTAACACAAAAAGTATCTTTTTAGTACTTCAAAATCATCATTACATTAATTATAATCAAATAAGTACATCCATATCTTTTCATAGTTGTGACATTGCTTTACAATTGCAAAAAGTACACTGTCACACTAAACCATGACAAGGGAGAAAAAGAAACAATATCAGATTCTATACATTAACTCCTACCTAAATCATCAAGTTTTACTTTAACTGACTGGCTCTAAAAGGCTAACAACAACAACTAGTACTTATAGTCAATTTAAAGCCAAAATAATGCCCTCTAGTTACTCAAAAAAACAACCTGCAGGGCAATTCACCTAACAACAACAACACTATTCAAGCTTAATCCTGCACACCTGGTTGAGTTGCTTCCTCCCTCTTCCTTTTCTTGTAGTACATAGCTTCTTCATCCTTAAATAACCAACGCAACCCATCCAAAAATTGAGCCCAATCTTGAACCATCCCATTATGAAAGCCATAACCATTATTCCTCATTATATCTTTGGCCATCCACCACCTTTCACTTTCATGTTGGGCTCTAACATAATGAGGGATCCAGGCCTTAAAAAATCATAGTTCATTCCAGTGCTTACACACACAGTTGCACATGCCTTGAGCTTTAGGGGGCAACTTAGGGAAAATGTACATACATAAAATTTCAGGAATTGATAACGCATGTGGGGCATCCTGATCTAGAGCCACCATATGATGAGGGTCGTCTACTGGATCCATATAACCTAACAAGACACACAATAATTATTGTGTTTACACAACAACAATTACACATAATTCATGAAAACAAATACTCTGTTTTTTCAAGAATAATTACACATAATTCATGCACAAAATTTTTTAAGTAACAAACAGCAAATTGATCAATACTAATAAAAAACGCAAAATCGACATAATATAAAAATAATTCTATGATTAAACCTAACAATAACAACAATTAGCAGATGAAAGGGTATTTTTTTAAAAATAAATAACGTTTCATGATAAACCCTAAATCGATCAACAAATCATCACCAAAACATAACAAATAAAAGCAATAACAAAAAAATAAATAATAAAATGATCAGAATTTTACCTTAAAATGCAATTATGATCCCTTCGTGCAAAGTTTTTCCAGAAATGGCTTCACTCGAACAGAGAATAGAAAATGAAAAGTTAGAGGAGAATATCCTTTTTTTTGTTTTCACTGGAGTAAATAGTACACAAGAAGAGAAAGGGGTGGGAGCGCGAAACTAGGGAACAAAGAAGCAGAAACGTCATTTCAATAATTGACGTCCTCGATTACCAAAAAAAAAAATTAAATCAGTTTAATTCCTATTATATGAAACTTTTAATCTATTACCTGACTAAATATACTAATTTTTTACCAACAAGTATTATAGTCCGATTATTATAATTGACATTATTTATCTAATATCTGACTAAAATACTTTAATTCCTGACTAATATATTATTATGCCTGTCAAAAATAGATTAATAACTGACGTAAGTTATATAATATCCGACTGTTACTCTTTAATTCCATACTAAAATATTATTATTCCTGACTAAAATATTATTATGCCTGACTAAAATATTATTATGCCTGACTTAAATCAACCAATACCTAAGATGAAAGAAATTATATCTGACTAATAATATCTAGTTAGTTAAATCAATCAATTCATCATTTCCTGGCTTTTAATTCCCAAGTAATTTAATTCTAAATCAATCAATCATTATTTCCTGGCTTTTTATTTGTCCACGTAATAATACTCAGTCCTAATATAAAATATTGTAGTATAAGGAATGTAGTGTAATATAATTTCTGACAAAAATATAAACCATTATATGAAAATTTAAATCTATTACCTAACTAAATATACTAATTTTTTACCAACAAGTATTATAGTCTGATTATTATAATTTAATTCCTGAAAAAAAAAAGATAATACATGACAAAACAAAATAAAATCATAGTATAATACTAAATAAATACTCAGCAATGTATAGGGTACATATTTCATATATTTCAAAAAGTAATACATCAAAAAATATACTCGTAATATCTTTTTGAAAATTTAATTATTACATATCATTTTCTTCATATATTAAAATGATATTGATTGAGATTAATCCTTAAGAAAGAGAGGAAAAAAAACCTAGAATCTTAATCTTCTTCTTGAGATTTTAAACTTGTTTTTTTCTTTTGATCTTTTTTTCTTCTTCCCGTTCCTTCTTTTGTTGGTCGTCTTCTTTCTTTTTTTTGTTTGTTTTGTTCTTCCTGGAATTTTTCTTCCACCCTCTTTCTCTTCCTCAGTTCTTCAATTTCATTTTTTTCAACTTTTTCATACAGCTTCGTCAACCCATCCTTCACTCTATCTCTTCTCTCAAATAGATCATTTAATCTCTTTTCAAAGTTGTCAAAAACATTTTCTTCTGGATCGTTTGATGAAGTAGAAGATTGAGAATTGTTTTTTATATTTGAGGAATAAAGAAAAAGAGTTTGTTTTAGGAGAGAGAATATACAGGAACACAAACATGCAAAATGTATGAGTAAATCATGGTTTTATAGACAAATAAAAAAGATTAAAAAAAACTTTACTTTTAAAATAATTTTCTATTTCTTATTCTTACATTTTTGTCATCTTTATCCAAAAGTCTAGATAAACATCTTTATTTTAAATATCTTTATCCAAATCACATAGTACTGAGAGCTACTCTAAGTGAAATCAAACACTATTAAATTTTTTTATGCTTGATAAACATATAACAATACTTGATATAAGTTATCTAATACCTGACAAAAACGTGCTAATTTCTGTCTTTTAAATTGTTATTCCTGAATAAAATACTACAATAACTGAGATAAATTATCTAATATCTGACTAAACCATTCTAATTCCTGACTCTAACTATTAGATAATACAACAATAATTGAGATAAATTAAAAAAAATTCAAACTATTAGACTTTTTTGTTATTCCTGAACAAAATAAGTTTATAATTGACATTATTGATTTAATATCTGATTAAAACACTTTAATTCCTGACTAATATATTGTTATGCCTAACAAAAATAGATTAATAACTGACATGAGTTATAAAATATCTGACTTTAAATCTTTAATACCTGACTAAAATATTGTTATTCTTGACAAAACTATATCAATTACTGCCATGATTTATCTAATATCTTACTATAAAATGAAATTATTTGATTTATGTTGTCTAAGTAATGGCTAAAATCAAACACTATTAAATTTTTTTTATGCTTGATAAACATATAACAATACCTGATAAAAGTTATCTAATATCTGACAAAAACATGCTAATTTATGTCTTTTAAATGGTTATTCCTAAATAAAATACAACAATAACGGAGATAAATAATGTAATATCTGACTAAACCATTCTAATTCCTGACTCTAACTATTAGGTAATACAAGAATAACTGAGATAAATTAAAAAAATTCAAACTATTAGACTTTTTTGTTATTCCTGAACAAAATAGGTTTATAATTGACATTATTTATTTAATATCTGATTAAAACACTTTAATTTCTGACTAATATATTGTTATGTCTAACAAAAACAGATTAATAATTGACGTGAGTTATATAATATCTGACTTTGACTCTTTAATACATGACTATATTGTTATTCCTGACAAAAATATATCAATTACTGCCATGATTTATCTAATATCTGACTATAAAATGAAATTATTTGATTTATGTTGTCTAAGTAATGACTAAAATATACTAATTCCTAATGAATATCATGTAATTCCTGATTAAAATAATCTAAAAACTGAAGAAAATAATCAAATTGTTCTATAATTGTTGCAAGTGTATCCAAATTCAAGACATAGATTGTGTCTATGGCATTTACAAAAGAATTTTGTATCACACTTTGGAACTTTAAAAAACAACCCTGAATTCAAAAATATGTTTCACAAGTGCTTAAGTGGTTGTGATTTAGAATTAGAATTTGAAGATGTCTGGAACAAGATGGTTCAAAAACATGGATTAGAAAAAAAAAAGAGTGGTTTGATAGGTTGTTCGGGCTACGAGAAAAATGGTGCACAACATTGAGCAAGGATATTTTCTCTGCGTGAATTCTTTCATCTCAAAGAGTAGAAGTAACAAACAGAGCAATTTCATTTAAGGCCAATAGAACCACTAAACTTTTGGAGGTCTTTCACATATTTGAAGCTACTTTGAGAAGATGGAGAAGCACTGAAAAGAGTGACAACTTCAGATGTACTATTGAGAAACCAAAAACAACAACAAAAATATTAAAACATGCTGCTGAAGTTTATACTATAAACTTATACAAGGATTTTAAGTTGGAATTTGACACCAGTCTAGGAGCATATGCAAAGG